GGTAAATATTCTATGTGAGATTGAAAAGAATGCATGTATTTTATATTGGTCAATTTTAGGAGTGTATATATTTTAACATATATATCATTAAACTTGCTAATTATATTTTTCTAGTCTATGATTACCTTTCTTTTTAAGTTTTATATGTATTTTGAGAAAAGTATGTTAAAAATCTACCACTATATTTATGGTTTTAAAATTTTCTTCTAATAGTTCTATCAAATTTTGCTTCATGTATCTCAGTTATATCTTCTGATGAATTTTTCTTTTTTGTTCTTATATACTCTTGTTAATTATATAATATAAAATCTATTAAACAGCTGGTATTATAATCCCCATTTTAGAAGTTTAAAAACTGAAGAAATATTTATATATATATATGCACATAACTTTTATGTAACAAATATTAGAAGGTGAAATTGGATTCCACCTCTGGCTGAAGAGAGGGCCAATGCTGAGACCAAAAATGACAATGTTAGTAAGTGGATTAATATACTTCAGGAGGGGGAAGAATTTATAAATGAAATAATAGGGAGACCGAGAAAAATGTAGCTTTAAAAATAAGGAAAAGATGACTCACTGGTTGGCTCAGTTGGTTAGAGCATGGTGTTATAACACCAAGGTCAAGGGTTTGGATTCCCATGCTGGTCAGCTACCAAAAATAAAAAATAATTTTTTAATTAAAAAAGTAAGGATAAGGTGACACAATGAAAGTTATGATAGTCAGTATGTGTGAATAATAGGGTTTCAGAATTAAAAGAAGCTTGTATTTAAGTGAAGGATTATGTCTCATTCATCTTTTTTATCCCCAGAACTGATCATAGTGCCAGTCACCTCCTACATGCTTAATAGATTATTCTTGAAGTAAAATAAAATTAAAAGCTTATAGTTTTTTGGAGACTACTGACATATCCCAGAAGGGTTGTTACTTTTTCTTTGTCATATTACTTTGTATAATTTCAAAGGACTTGAACTTTAGTTATTCTTTCTTTAAATAATAAGGACCCAGAAAAATGAACTCTACAACTAAACAGTGAGGTAAAAATTTTGAAGCAGATTTTTTGTTTCAACTCTTATTTTATTTTTTAGATTAAGTTAGAATATGAAGGACCATTGTTTTCTGAGTGGGATGTGCCAGGAACTTGTTCTGTACAAGACAGAAGGTAAGACTTTTTACTGTGAATATTAATATATGTGTATATTTACATGAAAAAAACCATTTGTATAGTATGGACATTGAGATTCAATGCTGTGATTTAATGTAAATTTCCTTGCATTAAATAGATCTGAAGAAAAAGACAAAATCACTTTTGTAAATAGAAGTAAATTATTGCTATATTTTGAAATTTCTCTTATCAGCATACAATTGAATTTTTTAGGCTTAAAAATAATAAGGTAATTTTTATTAATCTTGTATGCATCTGTAGTTATTTCTTCTTTCCCATTCTCTAGATCACCCACGACAGAATTGCGTTGTCCTTCTCCTGGTGTTTACAGTATAAAACCAATTGTTACGGGCCCAGTAAGTTGATTTAATGACAACTTATTAAATCTTGAATAATCATCCCGGTAACATTTTATTTTGCTTTTTTTTTTTTGAGCTTTTCAACCTAATTTAAACTGTTGTACATAGTATTAATTGTAACTACAAATAAAAGCTATTTTTAAAGTATTGTCAGTGTGTCATTAATTTTTAGATATATCTCATGTCAAACTGAAAATTATGGAATAATGATATGTGATTTTTTACTTCAATCTTTTTATTAAGAAGTGTGTTAAAGTCCATCATTAGTATGATAATATGAGGGCTCTTCAAAAAATTCATGGAAATATTTATATTATCTTTTAGTTCAATTTTGCCACAAACTCTTTGAAGTACACTTGTAGTATTCTCACTTGAGTGGGTCTCATGTCATACACATCTATAGCAATACCCAAGATTAAGCAATTTCTAGCAGATTCTTTTTACTCCACTGCATTTTCTTCAATTCAAAAAAACATGTAAATGAAAATGAATGAGTGATTTGAATCCTAAGTTACCAAAAAAGAAAAAGTAAAACATTTTAAAACATTGGCACTTTAATAATTAGTAACAAAGTAATAATTAGTAACAAAATGTCGACATACCTCACTGCTGGCATTCCCAAACAAGTGTGTCTGAAGTTACTGCTATAAAGACTCTATGTGATGTCTCCTACTTTTAATTTGGGGCACGTGCCATCTCTTTAGTTAAGAAACTTTATTTTCGGTGCACAAGTAGAGTGATGTGGGAGAGGCCAGATGGATATTAATCCATTTTTCAATTCCTACAGAGTGAAAAATATTTGAATTTGTCTTTTTGAGTCTATGACTATTTTTTTTTTTTTTTGAGCTTTTCAACCTAATTTAAACTGTTGTACATAGTATTAATTGTAACTACAAATAAAAGCTATTTTTAAAGTATTGTCAGTGTGTCATTAATTTTTAGATATATCTCATGTCAAACTGAAAATTATGGAATGATATGTGATTTTTTACTTCAAGCTTTTTATTAAGAAGTGTGTTAAAGTCCATCATTAGTATGATAATATGAGGGCTCTTCAAAAAATTCATGGAAATATTTATATTATCTTTTAGTTCAATTTTGCCACAAACTCTTTGAAGTACACTTGTAGTATTCTCACTTGAGTGGGTCTCATGTCATACACATCTATAGCAATACCCAAGATTAAGCAATTTCTAGCAGATTCTTTTTACTCCACTGCATTTTCTTCAATTCAAAAAAACATGTAAATGAAAATGAATGAGTGATTTGAATCCTAAGTTACCAAAAAAGAAAAAGTAAAACATTTTAAAACATTGGCACTTTAATAATTAGTAACAAAGTAATAATTAGTAACAAAATGTCGACATACCTCACTGCTGGCATTCCCAAACAAGTGTGTCTGAAGTTACTGCTATAAAGACTCTATGTGATGTCTCCTACTTTTAATTTGGGGCACGTGCCATCTCTTTAGTTAAGAAACTTTATTTTCGGTGCACAAGTAGAGTGATGTGGGAGAGGCCAGATGGATATTAATCCATTTTTCAATTCCTACAGAGTGAAAAATATTTGAATTTGTCTTTTTGAGTCTATGACTATTTACCAATTTCAGGAACACAATTCATGAAGAAACAAAGGACTCCTTTCCTATTTTTTCCCTTTGGAAACCCATATGAATGTGTAGTGTTAGGTAAAAAATGTACACACAGACATACATGCATATATAGGAATATCTTTGTCATTTATGTATAGCGTCATCAGGTCCTGCAGCTAGCTGAGGAGGTACATCTGACTTTTGAAATAAACTCAAAGGCACTCAGTTGTAACAAATGAAAGTGTCTCCAGGCATTGCCAGATGTCCCCTAAGGAGTAAAATCATTCCAGTTGAGAACCGCTGAATAAGAAAATTAATTGAATTGTCTTGATGAAGACAAATACAGTAGAAGCAATAAGGATAGCAAGCCATCAAAATATCTTCTAAATTTGTCATTCATGATAGTATATTCTTAATTACAGAGAGCAAAGAATTGAGCTAGTTTTATTTGTATATTTATTAATTCTATTCTGAAATATATTCATTCCTCTTCCTCTGATCTTAAATAAGTAATTTAGTTCCTCTACGAATTTTAAGTCTGTATTCATATTTAGATTTATTTTAAAGTTAACTTAATATATCCTAATCCTTTGCGTTTTCTTTTAGGATGAAGAAGAACGCTATTTGTCTGTGGAGAGTTCTAATACTTGCTTTCTGTGGAATTATAGAGTTATGTAAGTAGTGCAGTAATGAGTACAAAGGTAATTAATACTTTTAAAGAGTATTTAGCATCAACTTTTAATTTACCACAAATAGATTATCTACAAACTTTAATTCACAAGCTGAGATATTCTCAAATATAAAAGTAATACTGAAGAACAAACAGTAAAAATAACAGCGGCAACCACTATTTGGACACATATTGTATTTACATTTTCACATTTTATATGTGTTGTTTTCCTCAGTTTTCATCATAATCAAATAAGTGTAAGTATTATTATCTTTATTTTATAAATGAGGAAACATAGACTTCGATGGGTTAAATAATTTAGACAAAAATACAAAGCTACT